CTTCATTCTGTTCTGGTTGAATGTTTATCTCTTCCTTCTGCTCCAAATCGTTGATTTGAGTCCTGGTTTCCTTCCTTTCACTGTTGGTTCCCTGTAAATTTTTCTTTATTTCACTTTGCATAGCCTTCACGTTTTCCTCCGTTTTGCAACCATACTCGACCATTTCTGTGAGCATCCAGATTACCAGTATTTTGAATTGTGCATCTGATAGATTGAGTATTTCTTCGTGGCTTAGTTCTATTTTTGGAGCTTTTATCTGTCCTTTCACTTAGGCCACATTTCTGTCTCAGCATGCCTCTTATGTTGGAAAGGGGGGAACCTTATGTATTCACCAGGGTGGGGCAACTGAGGTCACTGGTTTGTGACCCTGTAGGTGGGGGAAGGGCCCAGGAGGGAACAATGCTGCTTGCTCAGCTCTTGGCCGGCTTTCAGTCCCTTTCCCTCCTACCCACAAGCAAATTGGGCCCTTCTGGTGCTGATTCCTAGGTGGGTGGGTTTGTGTATGTTCTGGGACCCTGTGGGTCTCTCCAATAATCTCTCCTGTGATGCTGGGAGTTTATTCCGCTGCTGTATCCCCCACAGTTTTTTACAGCCAGAAGTTTTGAGACTTTCTTTTTCCACACTGGAACCCTGGGTTTTGTGGTCTGTCTTGCTCCCCAGATGTTCCTCCCAGTTTATCTGCACACAAATGTGGGACCACCCAGTCCTCCAGCCGCCATCTTGCCTTGCGTTCTCTCTGCCCCAGTTGCCTATCTCCACCCCTTCTACTGGTCTGGATGAATGTTTCTTCTTTAGCTCCTTGGTTGTAGGACTTCCATACAGTTCGATTTTCTGGCAGTTCTGGTTATTTTTTTTAAAGATTTTACTTATTTATTTTTTAGAAATGAAAAGGGAGGAAGAAAGAGAGGGAGAGAAACATCAATGTGTGGTTGATGTTTGCGATGCCTCCACCAGGGACCTGGCCTGCAACCCAGGAATGTGCCCTAGACTGGGAATCAAACCGGCGACACTTTGGTTCAGAGGCTGGCACTCAATCCACTGAGCCACACCAGCCAGGGCTATTTCTTTGTTTTTAAATTTGTTGTCCTTCTTTTGGTTGTGTGAGGAGGCACAGTGTATTTTCCTACGCCTCCATTTTGGTCTAAGTCCATCTCTGGTCTTTTTCAAAGCAAAAGTCTTTAATTTTTGGCAAAGTCCAATTTATCAATGTTTCCTATTATAGATTATGCTTTTGATGTCCTGTCCAAAAACTTTGTGATCTCCAGTTCTGTAACACCAAATGAAATTCCAGCAATTCAGTTCAATTCTGACTTCAACATCAGATCCAACAAGTTGAAGGGCTCAGTCCCACAAGACTGCCGCCACTTCAGATGCCAGTCACAAACTCTGGGCCACCCATACTTCTGATTACTGGGTAAAAATTCGTGGTTCCCATGACCTCTTCCTCACGTCCAATAACTTGCTAGAATAGCTCACAGAGCTCAGGAAAACACTTATGTTTACCAGTATATTTTAAAGGATACAATTCAAAAATGGCCAGATGAAAGACATGCGTAGGGCAAGGTATGAAGGGAGTGGTACAGAGCGTCCATACACTGTCTGGGCATGCTTCTCTCGCAGCAAATCTAGCAAGTCTCTGTGTTCAACCTGGAAGCTTTCTGAACCTTATTGTTTAGGGATTTTTATGGAGGAGTTTCTTTTTTTTAATATGGAAGTTCCATTATGCAGGCATAATTGATTAAATCATTGGCCATTGGTGATTAAACTCAATCTTCAGTCCTTCTCCCCTCCCAGGGAGGAAGGTGGGTGCATGGGGTGGGAGGGAGGGGAAGCTGAAATTTGCAACACTCTAAGCCACCCCTCTAATTACATGATTGGTTCTTTGGCAACCAACCCCCATCCCTGAAGTTATCCAGGAGCTCACCAAGTGTCATTTTATCAGCATAAACTCAGACAGGGTTGAAAGGGGCTTGTTCGGAATAACAAACTAACAACAAATGCTCTTATCACTCAGGAAATTCCAGGGATTATAGAAGATCTGTGTCAGGAACCAGGGGCAAACACCAAATCTGTATTTCTTATTATACCACACTCTGCCTAGCCCTGGATCCTGAACATTTTCTTCTATGTTTTTTGTCTAAAAATTTAGTTTTACATTTTACATGTAAGTCTATGATCCATTTTGAATTCATTTTTGAGTAAAGGAGTGAGATTTAGGTTGAGGTTCTTTTTTAAAACTTATGTTTTATTATAGTTGACATAAAATGTTATATTAGTTTCAGTAGAACATAGTGATTCATCATTTATATACCTTACAATGTGATCACCACAGTAAGTCTAGTACCCATCTATCACTATACAAAATTATTACAGCATTACTGATTTTTCCCATGTATATTACATTTCCATGACTTATGTATTTTATAACTGGAAGTTTGTACCTCTTATTTCCCTTCCTTTTTTTCATCCCTACCCCCTAGGTTGAAGTTCTTTTTGCCTATCAATGTACAATTGTTCCAGCACTGTTGAATTGTTTTGCACCTTTGTCAATAACCAGTTGGCCATACCTATGTGGGGCTCTTTCTTGATCCTCTGTTCCATCACATTGATCTATGTGTCTGTCTATCCTGCCACCAAAACCACAGCCTTGATTACTGTACCTATATAGTCAGCTTTAATATTGATTAGAGTGATTCTCTTACTTTACTCTTCTTTGTCTAGACTGGTTTAGCTATTTTAGAGGCTGTGCTTTTCTATATAAATTTTAGAATATGCTTGTCTGTGGATGTTGATCATATTCTCATGGGTTTATTTGCCCTCCATATACCCTCTTTGGTGAAATGCCTCTTTATATCTTTAGTTCATTTCCTAATTGGATTGTTTCTTCAATGTGAGTTTTGAGAGTATAATTTTTTATATATTGCTGAATTAAATTTGCTAATATTTTGTTCAGAGTTTTTGCATCTGTGTAAAATGAGCAATGTTGGTCTCTAGGTTTCTTTCTTTCTATTTCTTATACTATCTTTGTCTAATTTTGGTATCAGGCTTCATGAAATGAGTTAGGAAGAATATCCTCTTCATTAATTTCCACTTAGTAATAATCTTATTTATTCCAAATGCTCAGTTACATTATTATTTTTTTGCTCAGATATAACTGTATATCAATTGCAGGGTTCATTTCTCAAAACTGCTTTCCCCTGATTTTGAGGATTTTGTAACTGTTACCGAACAGCAAGTGGGGTCCTGCTGCCCACCACCACCCTCTAGGCAAAATTCCAGAGGCAAAGGTTTGGTGATAAAGGAATCTTCATTCCAGGCATGTCCAACCTGCACCAGGTGGCTGTGAATGCAGCCCAACATGAAATCATAAATTTACTTAAAACATTTTGAGATTTTTTTTGTGTGTATGATTTCATGTCCCAATGTATTTAATGTGTGGCTCAAGACAATTCTTATTCCAGTGTGATGTGGAGATGCCAAAAGGGTGGACACCCTTGCAAAGCAGTCACTTAGGCCTATCAAGTCACAGCTTTAATCACTTAACCCTATCAATTAAGGCTAAACGCTAACACTTGGGTTCTCCTAGCATTCCCTGTTAGTTTTTAGTTATCTTATTTCTAAAGGGTTAGTTTGTAAACTAAAACAACATAATATACAAAAGCTACACAATTTTGGAAGAATGGCAGGCTTCTGCCTCAGAGCCTGATCCCTCTAGAACACCTAAAGAATAACGCTGTCACCCTCTGTGAGGCCAACCTTTATGCTGGGGTAGTGAGTGACAGTCTTGGGGAAAACTTGAGGGAAAATAATTGAGCCATCTGTGGGTAAGTGATTGGGACCTCTGTGGAAATTCTTGAAGTTTAATAAGAGTTGAAGATCTAAGTATCTGAAGTCATTGATTGGTCCATGAGTTATTGATTGGGACACTGAGGTGGTGAATAATTGATTTACCTGGGATTACCAGTCTTTGGGAGTCAGTTTTAAGGGACCTATAGGAGTCATTGGTTGGAAACTGTGGACATTGGTAATTGCAGGATATTTGATATTTGATGGGCCAGAAGGTCTATTACTGAGGATTTTGTGGGAGTCACTGATTCTACATATGGGCTGTGAGTTATAGGAGGTCAGGTTTGGCCCCCAAAGGGCCTTAAGCAGATCCATGGTTGATTTTCTATTGAGGGTATGTTGCCTGTGTTGGTGAGTATTTGAGGAGCCTATGGAAACCGTTTAATGGCACCTTTGGGAAATAGTCTTGTCAGAGAGTGTCAGTTAATGATTTAGGGACCTGCACAGACATGTTTATTTTCAGGGCCCAAATGGGAATTGGGGGAGGGGGCAGGCGTAAGTTTATGCTTTCATCATTGGCATAAGAAGGTGGGCTCTATAAGTTGCTCAGAATGTACATTAAATTATGCAGAAGGTTGGTTTATGTACATGTGACATGGTCATCCCTCAGCCAAAGTATTTTGAAGGCAGCAGGTATCAGAAATTACAATTGTTGTGATTCTGCCTTATATAAAATACCATATGGCACATTAGTTAAGAAAATGTACTTTGGAGCCAGGCATACCTGGGTTTGAGTCTTTGTCCTTCCCCCTAATGTAAGCGATCTTGGGGCAAATTTCTTAGTATTTCTGAATGGCTGTATCTAATGGTAAATGGGAATAACAATAATAATAATTCACAGAATGAGTGTGGAACTTAAGTGAGGTACCTAAAAATATATGCTTGGCACATTATAATAGCAATATTTAATATTAATGGCATGTGTTCCGGGTGCCAAGTAGGAGTGAATACTTTAGAAGTATCACTTCATTTAACCCTAACAATTGTATGAGACAGGTATTTTTTATCCTGTTTTAAGATGAAAAATCTCAGGCAAAAGTGACTTTCTCAGAGCTGGATTTCAAATTCTCATTCATTTTACAACACCTCTCATGAGTTTTTCTCATATTCAACACTAATACTTGTTTGTTTTACTGGACTTTTCTCTTCCACAGTATCCAGCACAGTAAGCCATCTCTTCGTTCCCCAAGGAAGCATTTCTGGGTTGAATGTGGAGTGACTGACCATGTGGACACTGTCCAGGTTTCTTGGAGTCTCTGTGGAGCCCCAGGACCAGACTTCATAGTGAAGGCTGCAGGATCTTCCTTCCAGCTCCAGCAGCTCTGGCTGAGTTCACAGATGCCTGCCTGGCTTCAAGCTCCTGGTAGGAGCTGAGCTATCAGCAAGAGAGTCCCAGGGCTGAGGCTCAGCAGGAACATGCCAGCCAAGCGGAACTCTCCCCCGTGGACCATGGCCCTGGCTGCAGAGGAACATGGCAGGTTGTGTGAGGTGAGAAAGGAGAGGTTTCCAGGGACAGGAATTCATTCAGTAAGGAGGTAGTCTTGACCTATCACCGGGGCCTTGGAGCAGGGGAAGATGGGTCACCAGGGCAGCAGATTCCTGATTCACTGCCCCTGAGACAGATCACAATCCTCCTGCTGAGAGTACCACCATAGTTCATGTCCCACATCTGGAGTCCTATGTGTTTCAGTGGAAATGTGATCTGGCTGATGGAAGAAAGGTGGGACAGGAGGGTCAGCACCACACCTGGAGGAGAGGGCCAGCTTACTTGCAGGTTGCAGGCATGTCTGGGTGGGTGTGGTCACTGACCCTAGCCAGGGATACGTTACATCCTAGCCTCCAGCACAGGCCTTTCACTCTCCACTGGCTCTTTGTAGATGCTTAGCCAATCCCCACTGGAACCTTCTTCCCCCACCCCACCCCCCGGTCTCTGGAGATTTGCTGATTTCTCCTCTGTCCTGATCTAAGGCAGAAAAATTCCTTTTCTTTGGGACTTAGAGGATTGCAGGATAGTGGGGCGACCATAGTCTTTAGGGCCCTTGTAGTTCTTCCTCCTTTCAAAGGTGAACAAAATGGCCTGAGAAGGGACATGACTTGCCCTGGTGGCTCAGATTGTGAATGATAGTACTGGACTGGAACCCAGTCTCCTTAAGGTGTCTTCCACTCTTGCCACACTGCAGCCCCGACCAAGTATCTCACTAAAAGTTCCCCTGGAGAGTCTGTAAACGGAGGAAGATGATGAGAGAACCAGACACTACCAGACAGCTCCCTCCTTCATACCGTCTTATGGATGCCGTCACCTATGGGACAGGCTCATTGTCACAGGGACTTTTGGTCATGTGGTCATTAGGATAATATTAAACTTTTTTTTAAAAGATATTATTTATTTTATTTTTAGAGAGGGGAAAGGAGGGAGGAAGAGGGAGAGAAACATCAATGTGTGGTTGCCTCTCGTGCATCCTCTACTGTGGACCTGACCTACAACCCAGGCATGTGCCCTAGACTGGGAATCGAACCAGCGACCCTTTGGTTTGCAGGCTGGCATTCAATCCACTGAGCCACACCAGCCAGGGAAGAATAATATTAAACAAAATTTATATTAATTTTTATTATTTCATAATTTTACTATTTCACAGTAAAACATTAGAAAATGCATATAAGCAAATAGGAGAGAATGAAACATTATTCATAATTCCAGCATTACCCAAAATTAACCAGTGTTAACATTTAGTCTATATTTTCTTTCAGTTGTTTTTTTTTCTTTTGTATGTGCATGAGTGCATGTATAGGGGTATAGTGTGGGGCTATGAGTGTGCATACATCTTATATACATATATATTATATAGCTCAAGTTTGAATATGAAATATAGTATTTGGTTGCCTCCTTTTTAACTTGGCAGTTAAACATAATTTTCTAGGCAATTAATGTTTTTCTTCATAGACACATGATGCATACATAGCATTATGTCTTTTGGATAAACTATAATTTAACCACTCTATTATATGTACATTTAAAGTGTTTCAGGTTTTCTGTTGTGATTAAAACTGTTGTGGTGAAATTCCTATACTTAAATATTTTTGCCAAAGTCACTGAAATTATATTTTGAGTCAAAGGTATAGGGACATTGAATGTTAAACGAACCACTTCTACGCAGTGGAAAATTGCCCTCAGCTAGGCTCTGCTCCATTATCATATCAGTAACAGAGCCACAGATTGGGACCACGACAATGTGGCCCTCCCCAGTCCTCCTGCACAAGGCCTCTTGCCCAGCTGATGTGTGGGAAATTCTAACTGAATGATTCTGGGCTCTGCAAAGCACATTTCTCCACTCATACCTTCCTTCCCAACCACAGATCTCTGCCCCTTTGCAAGATGAGATAGAAATTATAAAGACCCTGGTGAATAGTATTTATTCAGTTATTATGTGTCAGGGTCTTGGTTTTTTCATTAGATATCAGGGAGCAGGGAATGGGCACATATACCAAGGAACCAATAAAAATACCCCCAGGAATGGGGGACAGTCGGTTGGATCAGGAAATAGTGGCTGAAGCTAGAAAAGAAGCAGAAGGGGTCACTAAAAGAAAAGGATGAGGAATAGCCACAGGAAACAGCTGGAAGGACCAGGGTGCACTGACTAGAGATGAAGGACAGTCGAGGTACCTCAGGGACAGATGGGAGTGCAATGGTGGAGACAAATGAGAAACATAAGTCAGAAGTCGGAGAACAGCAGAGAGACCAAGAAAGAGTTGTCAGAGCTGGAGAAGTGGTGAAATGGGGAGCAAGGAAGAGTAAGAGGGTCCAAGAACAATCAGGGATCTCAAAATAGGAGGAGGGACCAGGAGATGAAGGAACCAAATAGCAGCCAGAGGTAGCAGGGACCATCCAGAGGGATGAAGAAGCAGAAGATTCAGCTAAATAGAAAAAGCAAAAAGGTTCAGTGTGCTGTGTTAAGAGCCTGCAGGACAAGCAACTTTGTGTGGTACCAGGGTTTAGAGGAAAATCTGGGGCAGGGGATGGGAAATGCAGAGACACTGGGGAACAAGAAGTGGAAAGATGAATCTAGGAGTTAGTAGCAGCCAAAGGAAGCATGGACCAGCTGCTGAGGCTGTAGAACAGGTGGAGGAGCAAGAAAAGGAATGACCCATGTGGCAGTTGGAGAGGCAGAGAAGGACCTCCAAGGCTGAAGAGTAGCTGAGGGCACTAGGCACTAGGGCACTAGTAGCTGATGGAACAAGGAACAGCTGCTGAGGTCTGGGACCAGCCAGAGGGAACAGCAAAGGTATGCCGGGTGTCCACTAGAAGTCCCAGACTAACTAGAAGACTGGGAAGAGGAGACAACCATTAAAACTGTGTCTTGTGTGTGATAACACCCTGCTGACTAGAAAACTGATAGAGGGACCAGAGAACATCCAGAAGGCATAATATTAGTTCTTGAAGCTAGTTAGTGACCAAAGGCCCCAGGCAGCAAGCACTGAAGCTAGACACAGTTGTAGAATCCAGGAAGAGGCTGGGAATCAGCCAGATGTCCCCAGGATAGGGTGACAGGGGTGTCCTAGGATGGGAAACTTCCAGTGCTAACACAGGGAAAGTCCTGTGTAAACTGGGACTGTTGGTCTCCCTGCCCAAGAAATAGAGAACATAGCCAATAGTCAGACATAACATAAGTGCTGCAGCAGAAGAAAATACAGAATCCAGCCATGGCACAGGGCACACAGAAATAGTATACTTTCATGGTCAAGTGCCTAGGAGCCAACTGACCCACACTTCACAAAGTGTGGTCCATGGACAAGACATAGCAGCATCAGCTGAGAATTAATTAGCAATGCATTTCAGAACTGCCCAAGAAGCAGGAAAGAATCTAGGCTAAAGAATAGTCAAAGGACTCAAATGGCAGTCAGTCTGTGTCTAGTAGGAGAAATGAGAAAAGCTCATCAGGACCAGGGAACAGCCAGATGGACCCAACCTATCAATGGCAGAGGAGTAAGTGGAAGCTACATTAACCTCATAGAACCAATATGGAATTATAACTATGGTACTGCATTTCACCATGTTTAATGCGCACCCATGTTTTGTGCATATTATACACAAGATTATTATACCCATGCATAATGCTCATCCTTATTTTTCCCTCAAAAATTTGGGCAAAAAATGCACATTGTACATGGCAAAACATGGTAAATAGTAGAGAAATCAGCTGGAAAAAGGAACTGAACAGTAGCCGGAGAGAAGCCTTATAACTACAAACAGACAGAAGAAATCACTTCACCACAACATGACTGGTATGGAGTGCGGAGGAAATGTGAGAGAGCTTGCTGGGCTCCCATGGGTGGCAGATGAACTGCCAGAAGGAAATTTCAGTAGCCAGGGGTCCCCCTGATAATTGTGGGGTCTAAACCCCAAGCTAGGCTCCCTAGCCTACAACACCAGAACTGGAAAGAAACACAGATAATGAGCTGTGAAAACTGGCAGGATTTCTGTCTTCTAGGGAGAGATGGTTGGAGACACAAAGAACCTCATAAAGGACCAACTCACAAAATTTTGTTTACAACCACTTATCTTGGGCTCTGGCAAAGGGGGGCAGGCAGAGTGGACTAGAGACACTTGAGGAGAGTCTGAAGATGGCTTTAAGGAGAAAACTGAGGGAGCAGCCTCCAGGATCCCTGTTCTGAGTCATCCCCTATACTACAGGAGCCGTCTTGCTCAGGCAGAGCAGTCCCCTCCAAATGGCATCAGCCTGAGGGGAAGCAATAGCCCTGCCTGCAGGAATTACTCTGCCCCACCCTGTGGTGCTCAAGCCTGACAGCTTATTACAGGTTGACTAAATTAACAACTGAAGGAGACAGCCACAGATTGTGGATCCCTGGTAGTCTCGAACAGGCTGCCTAGGGCCAGACTGGGACACCACTCAACAACACCAGGGGCAGATCCAGAATGAGAGGACAGTGATAAACACTAGATTCTACTGAGACAAATTTCACTGCAGTCCTCTTCATGATTTGCATTATTTTCTCTCCTGCATAGCTTTTTAACATTCGTTTCTTGTCCTTCAAATCTGTGTCTATTAGGTCACTAGTTTTTAATTATACTTTATTTTAATCTCATATTTTGCTCCTCCCTTCTCATATTCCATTTTACCTTCTTCTTTCCTCTTATTTTCATTTTAAATTTTATTTTCTCTCTTGTTATGACTCATTTCCATTCCACACTTTTACTATTTCTCCCCTCTCCAGCCTTTCAAAACCATTTTTCTGGTCATCAGTCATCTCACATTCTTTTCCCCATTCTTAAAATACCCTTATTCTCTCTCCACCTTTATCAATCTTTGCTTGTTGGTCATGGGTATTGTGGTTATTGTTGCATTTCTTCAATTTTATTTCTAGATCACTACTTTTGTATTTCAAATCTCAAATTTTACCATTCTCTCCTACTCCGTTTTGCCTTCTGCCCTTTTATTTTTCATTTTAAATTTAAATTTTTCCCTGTCTTAGCCTGGTTTTCATTTCTCAGTCTTAGTATTCATTCTCCCTCTGTCCTCTC